AATGCGGACCGACAGGAGCAGGCCGTGACTGGGACAGCCTAACCCGTGTGGGTGCAGACCCCCAAATTGCAATCCTTTTTATCCATTAAAACCGCAAACCACAATCATGACTCTTAGGATTGTCATAACGTCCACAGAGCTAATTTCACTACACTTTCCTGTTCCCTTTGTCCCTGTCATGTCTGTTCCCATCAACAAGTTTGCTTATTCAACTATTTGCACTGGTTTGGCAAGGATTTTTCCTGTCAGTGCCCCACAGGTCATCTCTAAGCTAGCCCTTGCTTTTATTCTTAAATGTGATTAAGCAACATATATCTATATCAAAATAAGTTTTAGGCTACTCGCATTTTTCCTCTCACACCACCTTGCTTCTGGTTGTCCTCTTCCTCTCTTTCTTCCACTTTCCCAGCATTAGAGTCTTCTCCAGAGGGGAAAAAGTTGAGGTGGCTTTAATTAGTGGCAGGGAGATTCTGTGCTCGTGTGAGGTCTGAAGCCCTTCCAAATAATTTTCAAAACATGCACAGCCCTGTTGTATATAGATAGATTGCAGACTACAGCTCTGCTATCAGAAGAACCAGATATCTCAGTTTCTGCTTAGAAACACCTGAGTCCCAGGCTGCATGGTCATTTATCAAGGAAAATAAGAATTGGAGTCCAGCAACATTTAAATAAACTTCCTCACCTTTAGAATATTTTGGACCTGAATTATATTCTAGATTGATTTTGTATTGTGTACATTAATAGAATAACTCCACATGTGCAGCATGATGCATGCTGAAGGAAATGTGGTAGACTCTTATGATAATGTAACATAAAAGCGTGTAGGTTTTCATAATTTTGTGACTTGGTTCTTATTAATAAATCTGAAGTATAGAAATCAGCAAGTCACATATAATCGTATGGAGAATAGGCTGTGATGTTGATGTCTTCTACAGTAACTTTTTTCTTATAGTTAGTAGAATGTTATATGTGAACCCCATGACCTCCAAAGCATGAAAAAAAGTTATTACAATTATGTCACAGTACATACCAGTTGATTTGATCCTTGACTTATAATTTATCTGTAAGAGCTGTACATTTCATCCATAATTGTAGGTTACTGTGTTTTAAGTCAGTGATTTTCAACTAGTGGCTTGTATACCATTGGCAGGACTCTAAAATAGTTTAGGTGAGATATAAGATAAATTGTTGAGCCTGCATTTAGTCTTTTAAAATGTACCATACACAATAAATATAGGAACAAAATTACATAAACATTACATGTTCTTCTTAGCAAAAAGTGGGTAAATTTTTGTTTCTACCGTGATGGGACCTAAGTTCTTTAATAGAGTGATTGCTGGGAATTATGATATGAAAGATTTTAAAATAATTTTCTAATGCTTTATTTTATATGCTCCACAGGGCATATTTAGAAAACATTACTGCAATTGGTCCAAGAAGTGTTGGAAGTCCAGAAAATGAAATTTTCACTGTTGACTACCTCTTGAAACAAGTTAAAGCTATTGAAATTAAAAGCAATCATGTCCATACAATCTCTGTAAATATACAGAGGCCAACAGGCACTTTCAGTATTGACTTTCTTGGAGGATTCACCAGTTATTATGACAATATTACTAATGTTGCCGTTAAACTGGAACCCAGAAGTGGAGCTGAACATGCAGTGATGTTGAATTGTCACTTTGACTCGGTACCAAATACTCTAGGTAAGTACATCAAAAACATTTTACAAAGGGGAGAAATAATTATTGTTTCACAGAAAAATGATGTTTCCTCTCTGCTTAAAAGATGAAGTCTAGTTACGTTTCAAATCTTCTTTGTATAATACCCAGAAGTAATTCTTCATTACATTCATTACAATGAAAACGTTTTGCAAATCTAATAACTGTTGAATTCTTTTTAATTCCATTGTGTTTCTAGCCATCAAAGATGGTCATAGCACATTTGGAACTTGTATAAATAAAGTGTAACTGAATATAGTAACTGTGGAGTCTTTGGTCCTCTCTGAGCTTGGTTGTTTGCTTGCAAACGTTTCATTCATAAACAGGGAGCAAACCCCATAGCATGAGCATTGATGATGTTACTAGGTAACATCGTCAGTGCTCATGCTATGAGGTTTGCTTCCTGTTTATATACTGTAGCTTGCCCTGCCAGTGTTGGTGGGGGTATGGTTTTCTCCTTGGTAGTTCCTTGATCCATATTGTTTTTTGCTTGATTGTTTGTCTGGTGTTAATCCCTGCTTATCTGAGTGTAGGCTGCTGGAGAGGAT